AAACAAAGTCGCTTTCGCTGTATGTCCGTATGTATGCTTAGATCTTTAAAACTACGCAACGGATTTTGATGCGGTTTTTTTTATAGATAGAGTGATTCTTAAGGAAGGTTTGTATGTATAATACATGCATATTGCACCCGTGCGAAGCCGGGGCGGGTCGCTAGTTAATGATAAAACAAAAAAAAAAATGATAACATCCGCAATGAAAATGACGGAACTGTAAATGATCTAAAACTGTATTAACCGTAAAATTTTCTTATCAGGCGGTACTGCAATTAAACGTCTGAAAGTTTTCAGCGATAACAGGGAACTCCAATTGAAACATTTTCAGTGTAAATTGCTTATCTATGTAATTTTTTGATATAGGTAACAAGGATGTGATTATTTAGGTGCTATTGTTCTGTATGCAAGTGTATACAGTAGTAGGCAGCACCTCAACCTACTCATTTTTGTCAAATTTCTTTGTTAGGTTTTCAATTCTATCATTTTATCGCTTAAATATTAAAGTCGAAAATCCAGTGACAAAAATTTACATTATTGAAGTAGGTTGATGGGCTGGTCGCTGTACATTATACGTTTTGATTTGTATTTGTACTTTACCGCTCGTCAGTAGATTAAATAACGATGTATAGTTGTTGATATTAAAGCCAAGCTTATTTTTTTATTATAAAAATGTTTCTGAAGAAAAAGCTATCAACCTAACGAAAAATTGATACTCAAATCAGCTCATTAAAACACATAGGCAACATAATCTCCGGCCATTGTAGGCATGGGTTTGCGGACGGTGAGCATAGGTAGCTCGCCGCCCGAACAGAACTAGACCCGAGAGTACGGCGCGTCGCGTTTCACGCGCGCCTTAAAGAGCCATCAGACCACCACGGATGGGGCCCAGTAGGGTGATGCCGATACGGAGCTGCAGGACTAGGAATGGGGTGGTTTTAGTCAGGAAGAGTCTGACACTCTCCCGCCGCACCTAGGCGGGAGAAGCCATTCGATGACTTTCCCTCTTTAAAAGAACGTCAACATAAGTGAAGTGCAAAACGGAATTCATTTCGGTGCTCTTTGTCGGTCAAAACCGATAGAGATTAATTTTAATTTAGTAATTTACTGCCGATTGCAATAACCTATCTCAATTCAAAATCTGTAGATAAGGATCTATTTTTGACATCTGTAGATATAGAGTTTCTGTTTAATTGAGATAGGTAAATGAAATTGTTAGTTAGATATTACGATACTTAAAAACTATATTTGACAACTACATTATACAATAGCAGCACAACACAACAATCGCCGGGGCGCGGGCCGCGGAATGCTGTTCATGAATATGAGCCTCTAGCATGGCTTGAAATTAATCGAGTTCCTCATCAAACAGTTACGTGAGTAAGCCAAAAACAAAATAATTCATTTACTATGTCTAATGAAAGTTTTAATATAAAAATATTAGATGTCCATCAACATTAAAATTGATAATTCTTACTAATCCTACTAATATTATAAATGTGAATGTCTGTTTGTATGTTTGTTACTCCTTTACGTCGTCGGTTGAAGGGATCGGGATGAAATTTGGAACAGAGATAGATTGTGGTCTGGTATAACACATATGCTACTTTGCATTCTACAGAAATGCGGGCGAAGCCGCTGGCAGAAGCTGCTAATACATATTTATACGTAATTAAAGAAAAAAATATTCTTTCCATTATAGTTTTCCTAATTATCTTTAATAAATAATATACTTTATGTTAGAACACATTAAAATGCTAATTCTTTATTAATGATTAGGAATCAGTTTATGTATACACGTATAGATTACCTGTATTAGTCAATTTTCCTTATCAATAGTAAAACAATAATTCGTATTTTTATAACATCACGTAGCATTGTTAAAACCGTACTTTAGTCTTGAATTTATTAAGCGCACGGTGCAATTTAATTACAATGAGCACTATCGGACATTATTTGGGTTCATAATATATTAAATCAATGTAACCAAGAACCACGCCTTGTATACGTGGTTTGAATCATCGAAGAGATAAGCAGAAGTGAAAATTTTTTAAGTAACACATTTTTTACCCACAATATTTCAAGATCCACGTAATAAAGGGTGTGGTCACCAAGGCTGCGTCTTGTCGCCACTTCTCTTCTCGGTAGTTTTTTGGAGACTTTGCATATCAGATATATGGCACCGAGGCAAGGGATAGAATGGGAATTATCAAACATTGAAAACTTGAACTTTTTTCCTCTGGATGGCCATTGGGCCATTCTCCTGAAACCTGACGTCATCGCACTGTGATGGACGGAGCGGCATGGATTGATATAATGAGTAACATGAAGCTCAAAACTACCTAATGGAGTTGGAGGACCTCAATGAGTACTCTCTAGAGTACATAAGAGTTTCAGTACGTACCTAAGTACTAGGAGGTGTGCCTTGTACTACAAACCAGACACAAATCCAAACTACATACAAACAGTAGCTTATTTAGCTGTCCGATGAATGACATCATCAACAGCCCATAAATGCCCACTGCTGAGCAAAGCCTCTTCTCACACGGAGAAGGTTTGAGTATTAATCACCACGCTTGCTCAATGCGGGTTGGCGATTTCAAACTTATAATAAGAAATTATAAGTCCAGGTTTCCTCACGATGTTTTTCCTTCACCGTTGTTTGTCAGTGGTGTCTAAGTAATCTTAGAAAGTACATATAACTCGGAAAAGTCACATTGGTACTTGCCGTTGGTAGGTTACGAACCCTCATGCATGAGAAGCGGGCGTCTTAAACCTCCGGGCCACCACGACATAGACTGTTAACCGATGAATGACATAGACTGTTAACAGTATTGTTTAACAATCATAATTGGGATGATGACAGGGTATGAAAATTAAAAACATAATTGGTCCGTAAGTTAGGTAATGAAAAAATATTAGACACGTACTTTTTTATTTTGTCGTATATTAAAATAATACTTAGATAAAACAAATCAGAGTTTAGGAGTGGGGGCTGAAACGTCATTTCTATGTAAGAAATGTACATAGAAGTGACGTCACGCGACATTTCAAATCAATATATCGTCGTAAATATTTTTTTCACTAAGAAAATAAAAAATACGTGTCTAATAATTTAAAATAATCTACCAGACGGACATTAAAATATAGATTAGGCATCTACCCTATTGTACCTAGCAATTTTATTCTGACGATGAATCTACTAGCTTGGTAGGCACTTGATCCCATGATAATCCTTCAGCTATAGGCCGAATGAGATATCTTCAGTCATTCAATAAAACAACGAGACGTTAAACAGTTATTCAAACAAGTATTTGGACACTGTACCTAATATTTTGTAAGTAGTGTGTGTATAGCCATGAACACAATGACTCATAAAAGTATTTTGACTAACCCGGGCCAAATCAACATGAATCACTCTTTTCATTGTGAGTAGGTATAACAATATAGTATTTTATCGAATCCTATTGTGAAATATTTGATTAATTACCTACTCGCTTAGTCACATACATAGGTACCTACGTTATCCGTAGTAAATTGGGCTCGCTGCCATTGCAGCGGTAAGTCCCTTCTTTGAGGAGTGGCTTGAGAGACGCTACGGCGTCCTCACCTACCGCCTGACGCAGGTCCTCACCGGACATGGAAGTTTCGGGAGGTACCTGTGTCTGATGAGGCGGGAGGAAACGCCCGGGTGTCATCACTGCGAGGACCGCCCTGAGGACACGGTGGAAAACACAGTGGGAGAATGCCCTGCGTGGGCTGAGAACCGCCGTGCCCTCAGGGAAGTGATCGGCGATGGCGACCTCTCGCGTCCGGGCCTAGTGCAGGCCATGATGCGGAGCGAGGGGAACTGGGATGCCGTCTCCTCCTTTTGCGAAGCAGTCATGCTAGCTAAGGAGGAGGCGGGACGCGTGAGGCAGCGAAGCGCTGCCTCCTCGCAACCCAGCCATCGCGAAGGACACACCGGGCGTCGGGGATCGCGGGACGATCTCCGGCCACCGTAAGCGAAAAACACACGAAAAGAAAAAAGCCATGCTGATTTTTTGTAATTTGTCTTACAATCATAATATTTGAATCTACCTTGATAGACAAATGTAAAATGTATGCGATTCGACCAGAAACAGACCCGAACGTACGACGCGTCGCGTTCCGCGCGCGTCTCAAAGAGCCATCAGACCACCACAGATGGGGCCCAATAGGGCTGTTGCCGATTCGGAGTCGCGGAGAACCTAATGGGTAATCGGGGCTCCGGCTCGACGTGCAGGAGAAGGAACGGGGTAGTTTTTAGTCAGTAAGAGTCTAATACTCCCTCCCGCCTCACCCGGGCGGGAGTAGTCATTGGATGATATTCGCCAGTCAATTTACAAAAACGTTACGCTTTACAAAAATAAAAACTAGTTGTTTATAGTAAAAGTTTTTGTGTTTTCATCATCAATATTGTGTGGAAGAGCCATGCTTCGGCATGAATGGGCCGGCTCGACCGGAGTGATACCACGGCCTCACAGAAGACCGACGTACGTGAAACAACGTTATTTTGTGTTTCGTCGTGTGAGTGAGGTTACCGGATGCCCAATCCCTGAATCCCCAACAATCCTCAAATTCCTAATCCCAAAAGGCCGGTAACACACTTGTAACGCCTCTGGTGTTCCAGGTGTCCATGGGCGACGCCGTTTGCTTACCATCAGGTGATTCATCTGCATACCGGTTAACCAATAAAAAAAAACAATATCGATAGCCCGTGAGAGTTCACCATTTCCCTATAGACCTGCTTTGCGTAATTATGAGGATTTCCCATAATGCCTACGTTTGGTAGACTAAATAAAGAACGTAGCTTTTCTTTGGTACACGCCAGTAAACGAGCAGATGGTTCACTTGATAGTAAATAATCGGCGTCGCCCATGGCCACCAGAGTAACTCTTTTAAGTAAAAAATGTATAATAACTGCTATTATAAGATAGCAGTTCGACAAAGTCATTCATAAATAACACTCATAATAATTGCATAAAAATTTATTAACTGATGAAGTATACAAAACTACATAAATAAATAATTGACGAGTTTTTTCACATACATAATATATCTAGATAATCTTATCCTAAATAGTTATTACAATAATATTTGTAATACAGCGCAAACAAAGATCACAATAATACTGCTCTTGAACAGGAATGCTGAACTGGGTTCGAGACAATCATCGTCATGCGGGATTGATTTGAAATATGGTTGATGGAGCTCTTGTCGTTGTTCTATCAGACCTGCAATCGCTGTTACGCCTGCAGGTGACATAGACCTTGTTCGACTTAACTGCCAGGCGCGAACTGGAAATAGAATTAGACATTTATTTGTTATTGTGATCGCTTCATTAGTCGAATGGTCGTGAGTATGACTGCCGAGTAAAGGGGCCAGTTTTCATTTCTAGGTAAAACAAATTATATTTTGAGGCTATTTCCGACTGATAACATAACTATTAAAATTTGAGTGTTTCATTATGTATGCACGTGTTCGTGTCCTTTTGCGTAGTAAAAGCCATTATTGTTATTGCCACCATATTACTCTCATTTAACTGCTTGTCTTTACAGGGAAAAATACCACATTAAGAATCACTTACATTGGATATAATAATATTGATATCAATGCTTCTACAAATTAAAATTATCCTTATTCCTGAATTGTACCAGGTATACTTGACATTTGGGGTTAAAATATAACAGGATGATTACCTTGTCGTTGAGAGCCACCTAAGTTGCTGCAACTGTACGCTACCGCATAACTCTCATAGTCAGTCGACAATATAAGAATGGTTGTCGCCGAATTTCCTGAAATTACAAAAAAAAAAATATTTTAACCAAAATTAAATGCTAAAGGTAGATGATAAAAGTTAATCTACCGAAACAGCAGGGTACTCAATAGAATTGTGACCACCCTAACCATTTCACCATACTACAACCACGTAGATATTGAAAGAGCCGACTAAGAGCCGCCATACACGCACTGCTTGAAGCAGTCAGAATCGACTGTTTCAAGCGCGAGTGCGTAGTGACCTACAGACTTCTGCGTACATACACAGACAACTTGAGAAGTTGCAACTGACATTTATTCAAGCGGTCAAGCATTCACCAGGCATATACTAACTGCTCGAACTGTGGACGGATCTCATGACCCGACCTCTACCCGCGCTTTTCATTGAACGTCATTTTTCATAAACATACAACATAATCGCTAACTACAACATAATCGCTAACTACTCGAACAATTCTCAATGGTAGTTTCAAGCCGTTGACTCTGTCTACAAGAGCGGTCCTTGTATGTGAATCACTGGATAACTGCTCGAGCAGTCCATGTCTGTTGACGCTAAGTAACTATATAATGGAACAGATGAGTTATGTTATGTGTAGCTCAGGGTAGCAGCGCTCTTTGATAAACTGGAGTCTTTTAAACTGCGATCTATAACCTGCCTGTATGTAAAGGGCCTCCTTTGAGTCCAGCAGTGGAACAATAACGAGCTCTTGATTTTTACCAATAATGCTTTTAAATTATGACAAATGGGTACCTTCAGACATCACAACAGATAATCTTCCGGTGCCATCAGTGGAAAGTTGACCTGTTCCTTCTACAGTAGACAATTCTCCATCAGAAACTTCATATGAAAGAACTTCAAATTCATTTGATTCTGAGTTATATGATGTCAATTTGAGTCCGATACAGCTGGTTTGAACAGCATCATATCTTTCGATCTGATACCAGGTTCCTTGGAACTGTAAACAAGTAGAAGCATTAATGTGTCTCAATGAGTCAATAGTAGGCAAGTCATTATTGACCTATTTCTGAATATGCATTCCAAGTACATTTCTTTTTCACGGTTAAAACTACTTACTTGTTCCATATCAAAGGATGACACTCCAGAAATTGACTCATCACATTGGCCAGGTAATATAACTTCACTTTCAGAGGGGTCAGGGTAGTGGAAGCATGCTTCATCACTCTGATCAGTGTGCAGGTAATATTTGTTTATTAGACCTTGTGTACTGCTAACCACTTCATTAATAGCATCGTTATCCTGAGAACTCAGTGTTCCAGACCTACTTAGTTTCCAACTTCCAACTGTAAGTTAAAACCGTATATTTGATTACCACCACCAAATATTTTTTTCATGAAATCAATTTTAAACATTAAGAATATTTTTTACCTCGTCTTCTGTTTCCGTTGTCTAAATTGATGCAATTGTATAGAATAGCATAGTTGATATAGTCGGTTGCCAGCACATATAATTTTGCTTCTATATTATCTGGAATTTAAATGTAATCGTCAGCTAAATATATTTGAATACTTTTCTATCAAAAAATCAAAGAACGGTCAAAAAGTTTAAAGACTAAACATTAGATAATGGAAATAAATATGAGGTTCCTGTAGTAATCGTGAATGACACTTCCCTACTTTTTCATATTCCATGTAAATAAATGTCGATAACACTAAAGATAATTATGATCTCGGATATTTTATGTAGAAATAATAAAGGATTCAAAAGTATAGTTGTTGTATAGCAGTACCCAGGTATTCCAAAAATTTTGTATAAGTCAGAAAGAATGGTTTTGTATAATGAGTGAGATTATGGATTCGGAAATATCGGATTCCGAGAGGATCCATAGTATTTAGTGAATCACATTAATATTATAAATGTGAAAGTTTCTTCGTTTGGATGTTTGTCCGTCAATCACGCTAAAACTACTGACCGGATTTTGATGAAATGATACAGGCAGGGTACACCCTGCCTGTATCATAACCTACAGGTTGACTTAGGTGATAGGATATTTTTTTTCCGATTAAATGCTCCCATGGGATAAAACAGGAATCATGTTATACGCAGACGAAGTCGTGAGCAACAGCTAGTTCAATTTTTATTACATTTATGTTTTGTAAAATGTAGATAATTAAGAGTGCAAGTTATCAGCTTACCATCACCATTACCCAAAGATACGTCCAGTAAACCAGAGCCGTCAGTGCTAGCTATATTAGCATTTCCTTGTGAAATAAGCAGTTTTTCATTCACAACTTGGGTCGACACAATTGAGATGACGTCTCCACTATTATCGTACACGGCACTGTTACATTGACCTGTTTGTATTGGTTGCGGATATCTGGCGACTTCGAACCATTTTCCAGAGAACTGTGGAATATTTGCAGTATTTAGACAAACTTAAAAATATAACGTTACAGAACGCCATTTTGATCTTTAAACTTGTAGAGTAGAGGTGCATTTTTGATATAACACCTTTTTACCAGCTATAAGTTCATGGAATAGGCCCTATTGAATAGGGGTTGATTTTATGCGCATACTTCGGACGTAATTACAAACTCCGTGTTATAACACTAAGAGTTTTCGAGATATTGAAAAAATACCCCATTATAGCTTTGCACTGCCTGATAAATCGTTCGCATCTCCTGGCGCAGGATTTGTATACGCGACCACTCGTACAACGAGACAGTAAAAAAACAATTTTTAATTAGGTATCAAGGTTTAAATCTAAATGAGTGTATATACATAAATAATATTAATTAATACATACCGCAGTTCCATCGAAATTAGCGATTCCTTTAATAGATGCATCACAGGGTCCTGGCAATTCTATAGATGATGGGAGCTGGTCGAACTCTGGATAGTGGAAACAGGCTGTGTTGTCCTGTTTTGTAGTGCGATAGTATCCCTCAAACAAATCGATGTTATTGCTAATGTGTTCTTGGATGGCTGAGTGAGCTGATTCTGATAATCCTGCGCGAGATTTGCTCAGTTTCCAACTGTAAACTGCAAGAAAAGTTAATGACAAGTATAATGACAAGTATAAGAGGTTAGATAAAATTGTATGCAAATCTCAAAGCAAAGTCACGTTTATGTATGTATTTTAGGTGTATATAAGCGAGTTCGCAGCCGCCGACAAAGTGTTAAATATATTTTATAACCCAATGCCAGTTTGATGAAACTTTTCATCTGGTATTTAATTGATACATACATATAATTGTAATGTGTAGTATAATTTATTCCATATTATAACATTATAATTATTATAGAGGTACACAATTTTATTAATTGCTCTCCCTCGAATGGCCTAGTGGTCTTAAGTGCGACTGCTGGGCAAGAGGTCTCGAGTTCGATTCCCGTATCGGGAAAAGAATTTTAGGGATTTTTAAACTCGTAAGTAGTAGCACGGAGTCTCGAATATGGTACGAATTGTGCTCGGTATATGACGATAGGCTCACCCCCTATTACATGGGATTCATTACATAAATAGTGATAAGTGGGTGTTACATTATACAGTGGCATTAAGTGCCATAATGTGCACTTCTGCTTACCCCTTCGGAGATAAAAGGCGTGATGTTACGATGATGATCATGATGATTATGAGAGTTTTATTTAATTAATAATGTAAATATGTTATAGCCCCTACTATAAACTGGAGGCTCGAATACACCGCACTACGACATTGCAATTAAATTAATTAAATGTAAGAGCGATGCGCGGCAATCGGCAAGAATCGGCTCGAACGGAATATTTATATTAAATCAGGTTATCACAGCCCCACAGGTTACCATCAGGTGATCCATCTGCTCAATCGGCCTATTCCATAAAAAGTCATTTTGTTAAGCTATAATTGTATCGCTACGGTACTTTTCCGCATTTAGAAAAATAATTTGTAGTTCGTAGTGGAACTAAACATTTTTATTGTAAAATACCTAATAGTAGGTTTTAATTTATTCTAACACCATGTTTTCATTAATGCAATAAAATATAGCGTAGCATAGATGTAATTCACACAATCATAAAAGAGTATATAATTTTCTTCAACATTCAACTCTGGGCGGGGTAGAATACAATTATATCTATAAGTATGATTATCTTATTAATTGCCGGTTTTATTTATTTATAACTAGCTTCTGCCCGCGACTTCGTACGCGCAATCCCATTTTGCCCCCGTTCCCGATCGTTATTTTCGGTAAAAAGTAAAAAAAAGTATTCTATAAAAAGTACCCTATGTCCGTCTCCTGGTTCTAAGCTACCTCCCTGCCAATTTTCATCTAAATCGATTGAGGCGTTCTTGAGTTATAAGTAGTGTAACTAACACGACTTTCTTTTATATATATAGATAATATAAAAATAAATGATCACAAGAAACTTACTTTGTTTTCTTTCTGCGTCGAGATTTCTACAACTATACGCCAATGCATATTCATTGTAATCAGTTAGTAAAATGTAGATGCTATTAAATGGCACTGAAAATTTTAAAATAATTAGTCAAGTGACTTTACCTTTTCGTAATTATTTTTTATACATAATATGTGAGATTACTTAGGTGTATTCCTTAATATAGGCATTATCTGCTTAAATGGGAACATCAATCTCATATGAATACTAAAACTTGAAAATTAATAATAAATAACCTATTTTTCTTTTGCTTTATTTTTACCTCCATCGATATTTATATTATAGATGACTCCTCTACCGTCTGTAGCCAGTATACCACTTGTAGCTGTACTCAACTGAGCCTCATCAATGACACTGGTTTTAACTATGTTGAAGTTACCATCAACTAGGGTAAATTCAGTTGCTGAGCATTCTCCATTCTGCAGATCTGACGGGAATCTGGCTACTTCATGCCATGTTCCAGCAAACTAAAATATTTAATTTGGTCATAAATCATACTAATTATTATTCGGTTGAAATAGAAGTGGTTAAATTACAATAAGTCTAATAGAGCTGAATTTTGGTAGTCCGTAGGTCAGACTCAGGAGTTACACGTCACAAGTAATTTTGGGCTTAGTTGGGAACTGAGAAAAATTGTGAATTATAGTTTTGCAAAAGGAAGGTTCAGTATATAATTTTGTTTTTACCTCACAGTTTTTAGTCTAATGTGTAGTTAGAATTCCATGTAGAGAAGACATTACTAACCTCTGCAGAATTGAAACCGGTAACTGCTGGCACTTGAGCATCAGGAACACACTGTCCAGACAAAATGACATCTCCACCATTATTGTCAGGATAATAGAAACAGTCTTCGTCACTATGCTTTCTCTCAACATAATATTTTTGTTCTAGCACTTGTACTTTGTCAAGCTCTTCATTGATTTTAGCTTGTGCATCGTCAGGTAAATAAGTACTTCTACCCAATTTCCAGCTGTGAACTGAAGTAAAAGCGGTAGTGTTGAAAATAAAGAATACTATATCAAATATTATAATACTGTAAATAAAAAAGGATAAATATGCACCTGCTCTGAATTCATCATCGATGTTTCGACAAGAATACACTAGTGAGTATGAACTATAATCAGTGGCCAACACCCAGTATTTTGTAGTAACAACTGCAAAGAAAGCATATAGGATTAGCTATAATAATAAAAAGTAATAAACTAAAACCCAACTACGACAAAAAACGACGCTAGAAAATGATAAAACAAGATTTTCAGAATACTGAACTGAACAAAGTTGGTAAAGTAGTTGCAAGTAAATGGATACAGTAGATTCTATCAAGACACCTTCGTTGTAAATTGACAATAGTGTGTACAATACTATTCTGAAGTAGATACATTTTCATGTTTGGAAAACCGCAGTCACACGTTGTCAAAATGCTACGGTAGGTAAGTACATGTAACGCGTGACTACGGCTTTTCTTCTTAAAGTTTAGAAGTTACGAGGGAACAGATGAACATACATATATACATAGTCTGTCAAAATCATAACTCTCCTTTTGATTTGCCGTAGTCGGGTAAAAATAGACAAACGTTATTTGCATAACAAATATGAATTGACTTCAGCCTACTAGCATAAATTTGTAGGTGAGCTTAGTTACTTACTTTCAACTAATAAACAGATTTAAGTTTCGTAAACAAAATGTTTATACATACATACCCTCACGCCTGTCTTCCATAGGAGAAGCAAAGATTATGGCGTGCCAATTGATACGTTTCTCACATATCTTTTCGCTTCCTCAACAGTCTTTTCATGTATGCTCGTCTTTCAAATACTTTGAATTATAAAGCTAATTTTAAATAAATGAAAAAAGTAATCATTGAGGACATTTACCATTGCCATTGCTTTGTGTTAGGGTGACATCAAATTTGCCACTTCCATCGTTGCTAGTGGGATAAGCAACTCCTGTTGTAGTTTGCTGAATTTGCCCGGATACTTGGGTGTTTACCACTTCAAGTGTACCATCGGGATTAGAAGAATATCTAGCCGTGTTACAAGTTCCGCTTTGGAACCGTGTTGGGTAGGATTCAATATCGAACCAGGTACCTTCATACTATGTTGCATAAAATAAAATAAAGAAATCAGTTATATGTGTGAAAATATATCAAAGTTACAAGTACAATTATATTAAACAATAATTGATCGAACTATATGGCTATTTTAAATACACCCACACGACGTAACAGAACCGTATTATTAACATCATAATCAACAACTTTGTTCTACAACTATTCAATATTCTTCAGGTTATTTATGGATCAACATTTAAAACAAATACAAAAGTTAGATCGACTAGGGCTTTCTTTTACTTCCTGCTTCACATACGTATTTATTAATCACTAGCATCTACCCGCGACTTCATACGCGCAATCCTGTTTTCTTCCGTAAATGTAGAATTTTCAGGACTTTTTCTGTCCAAAGAACCTTCTCCTGATCTCGATCTAACCGTTCTTTAGTGAAGACATTATTCTGTAATTTGTTATTAATAATACGGTCCTGCAATTTTGTTTGTGTATTTATAGGACTCCTGTGTATACAAATATTATGTTTTTATGAGCGATATGGGCAGAGGAGCAGGGAAGTTACCGTAGTATTGTTATGTATCGGACTATAGTACCGCAGTAAAGAATCTACGCCCTCCATGGACACTCAAACCGACAAAGGAGTTAAAAAAAGTGTCCATGCCTGTTTGTTTGTCCGTCTTTCACGGCAAAAGGGAGATGCGAATAATGTTTAAGTGGCGTGAATATCGAAAGAGTGCAAGATTAGATAGCAAGCTAAAATAATTTGCAACTTTCATGAACAATCAGCACTAGTTCAGCGAATTTTTTAATTGTATTTATTGGTTAAAGATGTAGGTTGATGGTATACATAAAAAAATATAAAAAATATGCCTGAGCTCAATATTCGCGGACAAAGTACCCAAAGCTAGTAGTAATAATATATGTAATTATAACTGTAAACATACCTCCTGAGGGTTGAAATTTTCAACAGCGTTTATGTTGTCATCGCACTGTCCAGGGAAAATTATATCAAAGTCGCTATCAACTGCGGGATAGTAAAAGCAACTCGCATCCGTTCGATCAATTTTTTGATAGTAACGCTCATCGAGAACATCTATGTTGTTAATTACATTATTAATTGCTGTAGTTGCACTTGGTGGCAATGTACTAAATCTGCTCATTTTCCAGCTCCACACTAAAACACGGGCAAGTTACAAAAAATAAGGAATGCATGTGATGTGTCGGTATCATAGTTCAGTATGTACGTAAAAACATTGCTAGACACTAAAAAAAGACACTAGGTGCAACATCATACCACACTTTAAAGTCAAATAAAGAGATCAACATTTAACTAAAACCGTCATATAAAGACACAGCACTTACCTCTTCGTTGATGATTGGGTAGATTAACGCATGTATAAACCAGCGCGTATGATTCATAGTCAGTTGCTAATATCCAGTATTCAGTGGGTGTTCCTGCATTATAAAAATGAACTATTTTTAACATAAATACTAAGACTTATGATACAGGGTTATTCAAAAATAGTTAACAACTTCACAGGAATTATTAACATCATAAACAACCACTTTTGTTCTATGACTTTTCACAATTTATAATATTTTGGGTCACTTTTTTATATAATACTTTACTTTTTATTCCTTCTATCTTTTTAGTGTTATACATATGTATTATAATTCGTGCTTAAAATGTTTACACTCCAAATCTATATTTAATTTAACCATCAGGCTGAGATGTCTTTAAATTGGCAAATGCAGAAGTAGCGTCTAGAACAACGTTATTCAGATGCTCATTGATTGTGGCTAATTTATCTTAAAGACAAATAAAGCTATTAAATAGGTGGTCACTAGATTCATTAATTCCTATTATAAAATTGAAATCTCAGTACTTACGGTCTGGGAAAGTGACGACAAGTTTGCCGCTTCCATCACCGGCAAGTGGAACAGCCGAGCCTACAATACTAGTCAGTTGTTCATTAACAACTTTAGAGTTAGTTACAATCAGTGTGCCATCAGATGATGCTGCATAAGAAGCGGCGTTGCATGTACCTTCTTGGAATTCTGAATAGTATGATTCAAGTAATCGCCAGCGTCCCAGGTACTGAAGCAAAACAATAGATATAATAATCAAATAAGTAGTTTGTTTGTTTTTTGATATCTACCTACCTGCGTCAGGCGGTTGGTAAGGACACCGTAGCGTCTCTCAAGCCACTCCTCAAAGAGGGGACTTACCGCTGCAATGGCAGCGAGCCCAGCCCTCGGTTGCGACAGTCGTTGCTGCCATTCCGCCATGAGATCGCGCCGGAGCTTATCCCACCACGCACTTATCTGGCGCGGCAGCGGAGTTTCGCCCCGGCGACGTGCCTCCGCGCGCATGCGATACACGCGCGCGAGCACCTTCGCCTCCAGATCCCATGGTGGTAATCCGGCATGGAGGTTCACCGACTCCCCGGAGATCGTGCGGTATCCGCGGGTCATTCGGATCGCCATGACCCTCTGTGCCATGAGCAGCGCCCGATCGGGCCGCCGCATCAGGTTCGGCGCCGTAGAGGGCCATGGACCGCACGACCCCAGCGTATAACATACGGCAGGAGGCGATTGGCCCCCCGTGGTTGGAGAGAATGCGTTTGAACGCAGTCCCCGTCCTCTCCAACTTTGGAGCCAAACGTCGGAAGTGCTTCATGAAGTTCCACCGACTGTCGAGGACGAGCCCTAGGTACTTCATCGTCGTCTCGACGTCGATGGTAACCCCTCTCGCCGTTATTTGGGACCCACCCGAAGGTGGCGCGTTCCCGCGGCCATGAAAACACATGGCCTCGGACTTGTGGAGCGCCACCTCGAGTCCCAACTAACGGATTCTTTCAACGACTGTCGCAACCGCTGTTGCCATTAAATCGGCCGCCGCCTGGTGCGACCTCCCGTGTGCTAGCACCAGCATGTCGTCGGCGTAGTATATTGTGCTAACGCCGCTCGGGAGGTCGGTGCGCAGCACCCAATCATAGCCGATGTTCCACAGGAGCAGCCCCAGAACCGAAACCTGAGGAACATCGTGTGACATCTCTCGCCGGTTACACTCGCCCCGGTGACCAGGGTAACTGACGGACCTGTCCGTCAGGTAAGCCTCAATTACACGACGGAGGTAGGTAGGCACCCGATGATATCGGATCTCTGCGGAAGCCGAACTGACCGTCCGACAGGTCAGGCCCAATGTCCGTCAGGTGCGCGACGAGGCGGTTCGAAATGATTCTCTCGAAGACTTTCCCCACCACGTCGAGCAGCACTATGGGCCGGTACGCGGACGGAGAAGTCCACAGGGTGCCCCGTCTTACACACGAGCACCAGTTTGCCCGCTTTCCAGAGCAGCGGGGCACCGCAGGGGGCGTCGCACCGCAGTCATATACGGAGGGGTGAAGCCCCTCCACAGTCGGGGGAACAGAGCGCCAATCACCTCCTCTAAGACTTCTGGCCGGAGACTCTGAGTGAGCGGGGGAGCCCAAGCGCGGGCCTTGTCGCTTACCATCCGGTACGGGCGCCCCACGGGTCCCTGTTAGAGTCCCCAGCATCTCTCGGCGGGCCTCCTCCTTGGCCCGCAGTATTTCCGCCTTGAGGACGGCCTTTGCCGCCCTGTATCCCTCGTACAACTCCGCCTCTCTCGCCTCCGCATTCGGAGGACGGATGCGGCGCCTGCGGTGCCTAGTGTACTGACGTCGCACAGCAATGCATGTCTTGCGTAGGGCTGCCAGCGCTTGCGACCACCAGTACACCTGGCGTTTATGATGACTCGATCGGATCCGGGGAATTGCCATGTCACAGATCCTGGACATGGCGTCCTGGAGCCACTTAGCCTCATCGTTAATGTCGGCAGGCTTGACCGGTGATATCATCCAGGCCTGCACGATAGCGGTTTCCAGGAACAGCTCCCGGTCCAGCTGTTTCAGCGCCCAACGCGGACCACATGGGGCCTGTCTGACCGGCTGGTCCGCGGACTCGGATACCGGTGGTCGGAGTACGTCTGCACCTTCTCCATGACACGCCAGTCAGCGATACGCGGTGACAGAGCAGGGCTGGCGAACGATATGTCCACCACCGACTCGCCCTGCATCCGCACACACGTGGGGACAGAACCCCGGTTCAGGACGACTAGGCCTGCCTCAAGGGTCCAGGCTTCCACCATCCTACCCCTAACGTCGGTGAACCGGGAACTTCAAGCCAAGTTCTTGGGATTGAAGTCCTCGAGGAC